CCGTCCATCATGTGGGCGCAGCTCGGACGAAGCTGGAGGCTGAGCGTTGAGGATCGGCGGGCGGCAGGTCCAGAACGGCGCTGAGCGACACGGCGCACGCCATAGACACGCAGCTCGGCGCTGCAAGGTCGATTGGGCCAACTGGGTCAAATATTGAGCGCAGCACCCTCAGGGACGATTGGTGAGCTCGGATGATCGGATCCCAACTCAGCGCCGCAGGAAATTGGGATGGGTATCGCAAGTTGCAGCGGGTCGAACGAGGCAGGTTTGCAACATGGGAGCCTGTCTTGCACACGGGACTACGGCTACCGGTGACCAGACAAGTGAACTCAATCACGCGTTGGGTTGATGGCATACGCTAGATCATGTGCATCCTGAGGGCGCTTGCTAGTCTTATCTCTCACACACTTCAGTCCATGCATGTTCCATGAACTAGGGGATTTTGGCCCTGCCACGCCTAGCCCCCTCGTGTGGACAGTCATGTGGGCACTGTCATTGCACTGCGCATGCAATTATTCGAAAGTGTTCAAATCTGTTTTTGCACACAGCATGCCATGTGAGGACTGTGGCCCCGTTGCGTGTCGGCCGCCTGGGCCAGGCACGGTGCCCTTCGACTCGCCTCCCCGTCGTACACGAATATTGAGGTGGAGCTGAGCACTGGCCTGGCCACCTTCCTGGTGCAAGAGAGATGGTCGAGGCCGAGCTGGCCCCATGCGCAACTGGGACGTGGCGTGCTCCGACGGCGCACCTCCGCGCCCCTCCTGCGGGACCCGGGCCCTCGGAGCGCGTGCTAGTCCAAGAGGTCCCCAGAGTCGGGGTTGGCGCGGACTCGGGCTGGGTGCACGGCGACCTCCACGGAGCGCTCGGCGCGGCGCCCGTTGGCGTGCAGCGCGTCGATGGCCCACCGGTTCGTCAACGATGTGCGTAGCGGCTGCCGTCAGCCGTCAGGCCGCACCTTGCTTTGGTGGCAGGCTTCGTTGCCCGTCCGCGAGCCCTCGCTTTTCTGGGCGCATGCTCACCTGGCCACCTCCCTGGAGGAGAAGACGCTGCGGCATAGACAGCCGATGATGGGATGTGCAGCTTTGCCGCTGGTTCTGACGCGCCGTGCCCACCCAGCTTCGAGCCATTCTCTGCTGCGCTGGCCTCCGACGTCCAGCAGCTTTTCCGCGGCCTGGAGCTCGCCCTGACGCAGCCCAGGGTTGCCGATGTCCTCGTCGCGGGCCCTTCCGACGTCCCCCCGCCATGTCCGTGAGGCGCTGAGTTCCGATCGATGGGGCGCGGTGGGCCATGGCCCGCGTGCGGAACCAGCCAGGGATCTCCGCAGCAGGGCCGCCGCGGCGGAAGCCGCTCTCTTTACCCCGTCCACGCTTGCGAAGCCGCGCTGCGGCTGAAACGGCAGGAGGCCATCCCTCGACCTCGAGGTGCAGCGGGTGGACTGCCCGCGGCTGTTCGTCCGCGCCGCCGTGCGCCTCTGTGTGTGCCTAGTGAGGCCCGCGCCCTGGCAGCTGCGGCAGGGCGCAATGGAGCGGTCATCGCGGTGGGGGAGGCCGACGGGCACCCTCGCTGCCCAGCTGACCGTGCTCCAGGGGGCGCCCCTGGCCGTCAGAGATGGTGGGCCGGCACGGGCCCGCGGGCCTCCAGTATTTGCGCCGGCTGGCTGGCCCGCGAGGAGGCGGGCCTCCTGGCCGGCGCTCTGATGGGCCGTTGAGGAGGAGGAGGAGGAGGAGGAGGAGGAGGAGGAGGAGGAGGAGGAGGAGGAGGAGGAGGAGGAGGAGGAGGAGGAGGAGGAGGAGGAGGAGGAGGAGGAGGAGGAGGAGGAGGAGGAGGAGGAGGAGGAGGAGAGGAGGAGGAGGAGGAGGAGGAGGAGGAGGAGGAGGAGGAGGTCGGCGCGGCCGGGTCTAGCAAAGGGCGCGGAGCAGGGGCGGGCACGGGAGGGCGCATGGAGGCACCGGCGGCCGCACGGGAGGGCCGCGAGATCAGGGTGGCTCTTCGCTGGGCGGAGAGCAGCGGCGGACTGCCCTTCGGCCGGGCCGCCGCCGCCGGGCTCTTTGCGGCGATGGCCCGCCATCGGGGGCCAGCTGTAACCCTAAGGGTGCCAGGGGGAGGCGAGAACCTTCGAGACCCAGGGGGGGGTTGAGGTCTGAAGATGGCGACGGCGCTGATGCTGGTGAGGTGGACGGGGGTGGCTGGGGAGGGTGACTCAGACTGTATACGCTGGGGGAGGGAGGGCAAGGATAAGATAGGAGGAAGAGGAGACGGGATGCAAGCTGGGAGAAGAGAGAGAAGGGAGGAAGAAGGAGTGAGGGGCGACGAGGGAGGGAGGACAAAGGGAGGAGGGAGGAGGGAAGAGAGAAGAAGGTATGCATCTATATACCTATACGACCAACCTTCGGGTGATAAGGAGGTTCGGGGGGGGAGGAACCAACGTATCACTCGATCGGTCTCACTATCGATCTCACTATCGATCTCACTATCGGTCTCGCTCGATCGATCTCACTCGATCGATCTCACAATCGATCTCACTCGATCTATTTCATTCGATCGATCTCACAATCGATCTGATTATCGATCTCACAATCGAACTCACTATCGATCTCACTATCGATCTCACAGTCGATCTCACATTCGGTCTCACTATCGATCCCACTATCGATATCACAATCGATCTCACAATCAACGTCATCATCAACATCATCGTTAGCAACGTCATCATCAACATCATCATCATCATCGGGACACCATCATCATCACCTCATCACCACCATCATCAACATCATCATCACCATCATCATCATCATCATCATCATCATCGGGACACCATCATCGTCGCCATCATCATCATCAACATCATCATCATCGGGACACCATCATCATCATCGGAACACCACCACCATCATCAGCTAGCTCATCATCATCATGAACAACATCATCAACATCATCATCATAACCGGGACACCATCATCATCAGCAACACCATCATCAACATCATCATCATCATCGGGACACCATCATGATCGTCAGCATCATCATCATCACCGTCATCATCATCATCATCATCATCATCGGGACACCATCATCATCAACATCAGCATCATCATCATCACCATCATGGGGCCACCATCATCAAAATCATCATCATCACCTCCTCATCATCATCCTCATCACCATCATCCTCATCATCATCATCGGGACACCATCATCGTCATCATCATTAACCTCATCATCATCGGGACACCATCATCATCACCATCATCATCATCATCATCGGGACATCACCACCATCATCATCATCATGAACAACATCATCAGCATCATTATCATCATCGGGACACCATCATCATCAGCATCATCATCAACATCATCATCAACATCATCATCCTCATCATCGGAACACCATCATCATCGTCACCATCATCATCATTATCACCATCATCATCATCATCATCGGGACACCATCATCGTCATAGACATCAGCACCATCGTCATCACCATCATCGGGCCACCATCATCAAAATCATCATCATCACCTCATTCTCATCCTCATCATCAACCTCATTATCATCACCATCATCATCATCAACATCATCGACATCATCATCATCATCATCATCATCATCATCATCATCATCATCATCATCATCATCATCATCATCATCATCATCATCATCGTCATCGTCATCGTCATCATCATCATCATCATCATCATCATCATCATCATCATCATCATTATCGGGACACCGACGGGACACCGGCGGGACACCGGCGGGACACCGTTGGCCACCGGCCCCCGGAAAGGAATCATTTGGTCCGGCCGCGCCTCAGCCGGAGACGGGACACCGGCGGGACACGGCGGGCCACCGGCCCCCGGAGAGGAATCATTTGGTCCGGCCGCGCCTCAGCCGGAGGAGACTTTCTTCTCGCCCGCTCACGCAGCTTCGCCTCGCCCGCACGCACGGCACGCACGAACACGAAACCGAAACCAATTTCCCGGTAGGGGGCCTCTCCGTTCCACTTCGATCTCACCCCCTCACCTCCGATTATATATATATATATGTATCTATATAAATATATATACACATACACACATAATATATATATATATATATATATATATATATATATATATATATATCCCTGGGGGGCTGGGCCGCGGCCCAAAAATAGCTGCCCCGACCCTCCATGGGGGGCGGGGGGCCCCGGAGTCCCCCCAAAGAGCCTTCTCAAGAGAGCCCCGAGAGGCTTAAATTGTTCAATTTCCTGGGGGAAAACTTACATTTTTGACATGCACGACGTTTTCGCTTCCCGACGCTCCACGGCGGCGCCCGAAGCACACAAGACCGCCCCGAGACCGCCCAAGAGACCCCCAAGACGCCCTCAAGAGGCCCCGATGGGAGGCCCCAGAGTCCCCCTGGAGCAGCCCAGACGGCCCCAGAGTGCCCCAAGAGCGCTCCAAGACAGGCCCCGAGGGCACCCGTGCGCCCAAGATGGCCCCAAGATTGCCCCAGAGGCCCCCAAGACCGCCCAAGGCAGCCCCAAGAGCCGTCTCAAGAGAGCCCCGAGAGGCTTAAATTGTTCAATTTCCTGTGGGAGAACATACATTTTTGACATGCACGACGTTTTCGCTTCCCGACGCTCCACGGCGGCCCTCGAAGCACACAAGACTGGCCCGCGGCGCACGGCCACCCCAGTTGTCGGGGCCTCTTGGCGCATGCCAGCGCGCGTGGCTTCAGTAACGACGACGACGGTGACGACGGTGAGGACGGGGCGATGATGGGCTATTGATGATGGTGCTGATGATAATGGTGGTGAGGGTGGTGATGATGAGGATGATGATGAAGATGCGCAAAGAGAACGGAAGGAGGGTATGAAACTCCCGCAGGGCGAATGTGGACGTGCTGGGCTCAGTATTTCTACATGTGCTCAGCCTGCCGCTGCGCACCTGGGTGGCCATGGCGCTGGCCTGCGTCGTCGGGAATTTCGTCACGACGAACTTCCTCCAGGACGGCCCGCGCGTTTCGTTTGTAGCTTCGGTCCGCGGCGTTGGTAGCGGCCCCGCGGACAGGAGGGGGGAATGCTGGGGAATCGACGGGCAGGGGAGCTGCGGAAAGGGAGGGGACAGGGCAAGCTGGGTGCGCAAGCGTCTTATCTGACGTCCTACCCCTCCCTCCCATCCCTTACCATGGCGTAGATCTCCTCTATACTCGCGCAGTCGGATGTCGTAGTATGGCATAGCATCACATGGCGTTGAAGATCAACGCGTAGCATGACGTAGCTTGGCGTGGCACTGCGTAGTCAGGCACTGCATCTCATAGCATTGCAGCTGAAGGGATGGCATCGCACAGCGGAACACACCATCGCATTGCATTGCATGGCATGGCATGGCACTGGAAATGAGGTCAGCACTGCAGCGGGAGCACGATTCGGAACGAGCGGAAGCCCGAAAATGGGGCCAGCGCTGCAGCGGGAGCACGATTCGGAACGAGCGGAAGCCCGAAAATGGGGCCAGCGCTTCAGAACATTTGGAAGGACCGGAAAGAAACGGATTGTCAACAACGCATATGGAAACCACATTTTTGGTAATTTTGTGTGTGTGTGTACAAAAACAGTAAGCGGACGGGTGCTGGCCATCTTCCGCACAGACTGAGGGGAGAGAGGAGAGTAGTCTTCATATTTTGTAATTGTGAAGATTGTGATAGGATAAGGGACGGTGAAGGAGTGCAGCAACATACAGACGGACGGAGCGATAGACACAGACACAAAGATAATCACAGAGGCGCGTAGACACAGAGACAGAGACATGGACACAGACGCGGGTACAGGCATATACGCAGACACCCACATATTCGATCAGGACCACGACTACAGCCACTGCCACAGACACGAACACAGTCGTGGACTCGGACACTGGCACAGACAGACACATGCACAGACGCAGCGACAGAGACATAGACGGTTGACAGGCACAGATATAGGCACACGCTAAGAGACACTGACAGATACAGGCACCGCTAAAAGAGAGCCGGGCCTGCATGCAGATATGCAAGCATGCAGGCAGACAAACAGAGGTGCACACATACACACATATGTATGTATGTATGTATGTATGTATGTATGTATGTATGTATGTATGTATGTATGCATGTATATGTGTATGTATACATATATATATATACAAGTCAGCATTGGCGCTGCGCGCCATGCACGTTGGTCCTTTGGAATCCGCACGCTAGCGGAGTGCGAACGTGCGTACATGCGCACACACATGCGTCTATGAATGCATATTACATATGCACATATATTATACGTTTGTATGGATACGTACATGTATATGCAAATGGTCAGTGTAACTCTGTGTGCGCATACACATGCGTATATTAGGCGTTGGTGGCCTGACCAGTTGCTCATATCATCGCGCCACTAAAAGGCGCGAGGGTCTCAGGCAAACGTGGTCAGACTACCATGGGACAATGCGTCGCCGAGGTCAGTGTTGCGAGGACGTCCCGGGTGAAAATGGCCTGAACACCTCCGCTCAGGGGAGGGCATATCCGAAGTCAGCCGTGCGAGGAAGTTTCAAGCGAGGAGTGGTCTGAACACCTCTGCTCAGGGCATCCTTGAACGTAGAGCTGCGAGAAGTCGCACGCGAAAGTGGCCGAACCACCATGGTGCAAGGCACCTCCGAAGTGAGACTTGCGAGAGTGTCTCAGGCGACAGTGGCTGGAACACCTCAACTGAGAGTGTCTCGAGCCCCAGAGCTGCGATGATGTCTCAAGCGAAAACGGCGGGACCGATGCGAAGCAAGGCGCTTCTGAGGTCGGAGTTGCGAGCATATCTCTGGCGAAGCGGATTAGACTACTTTCCGTCATCTCCTCTTCCTCCTTCCTCTTTTCCTTTCCTCCTCTTCCTCCTCGTCCCCCTCCTCCTCCTCCTGTTCCGCCTCCTCTTCCTCTCCCCCCTCTCCGTTTCTTTTTTGTCCATTCTCCCCATCCATGGCGGCGCGGCGCGGTGCCGCTCGGCCTCTCTGCGAGTCAAGCGGCAAAGGGTGAGAGACCCCCCCCGAATTAGGAACGGTTTTTCCCAAGCCGCCAAGGGGGCCCGAAGGTAGTGCAAGAGGCGGTGCAGGTTTTGAGATCCCCCAGGGGTTCCTCGGATTCGGCCGGCCCTCTCCGATAAGGTAGGCAAGGGCACCAACAGCGCGTCCGGATGAGATGGTGTCGTGGCCCCGACGGTTTGCATTGAGTGTTGCGAGAAGCTCAGTCGAGGCGGGAGGAGGAACATGAAGAGGATGAGGAGAAGGAGGAGGAGGAGGAGGAGGAAGAGGAGGAGGATGAAGAGGAGGAAGAGGATGAAGAGGGCAGATTATGTGGATATTTGGGGTGCAGCCGAGGTGTCGCGGAAGAAATCCGCAGCAGAGACTTGGGAGAGTGAGGAGAGCTGCTTCTGCTAGACCTTTGGCGGGGCGGAGCGTGAAACGCCACGGGGAATTAGGAGAAGCAGGAGGAGGAGGAGGAGATAGAGGAGGAAGAGAATGAGGAAGAGGAGGAGGAGCTCTTGGGTCCTTCGGTGGTTTGAACGAAGAATGGCCTCGCTGCGCCATTTGATACGACGACGACGACGACGAAGGCGACGACAAAGAGAAGGGAGAATGAGAGGGGGGAGACCGCTGTGTTGGGATCTCGTGGTGCGCCTCTCGGGGCCCTGTGGGAGGCAGTTTTGACGCCTCTTGGGGGTGTTCTGGAGTTCTTGGGATCCTTTTGGGGCCTCTTGGGGGCCTCTTGGGGGCTCCTTGGGGCCTCTGGGGAGCCTCTTGTGGCCTCGTGGGGCTCTCTCCGGGCGTCTTGGGGCCCTCTCGCGGCGGAAAATTTAGTTTTGAATTTTTGGGCGCCCTCTTGGGTCTGTCTTGGGGCCGTCTTGGTGCTCTCTTGGGGCCGTCTTGGTGCTCTCTTGGGCCGTCTTGGGCGCCTCTTGGGCGGTTTCGGAGCCCTCCTGGACCGTGTTGGGGCCTTCTTGGGGGCCTCTTGGGCAGTATTGGGGCGATCTAGGGGGCCTCTTGGGCCATTGTGGAGCGTCGCGAAGCGGGAAAAGCGAGAAGGCCAAAAACATCGAAAGAACACACAGGAAAATCAATAATTGTAGCCTCTCGGGGCTCTATTGGGAGGCCTCTTGGGGGTCTCTGGGGGCGTCTTGGACGCGTCTTGGGCGGTCTTGGGCCCAGATTCGGCGTCTTGGGCCGATCTTTGGGTGTCTCGGGGCCCTCTTTGGCCGTCGTGGTTTTTTTTTTTTTTTTTCGCGTCGGACTCGCAGGACAGACCTGCCTGGGGGGTCCAGGAGGACTCGGAGATCCACGGAAGCACTCTGCAGGAGCGCCCCAGAGGCTCGGGGAGGCCGAAATTCGTTTTGGGGGGGGGGGGGCACCGTGTGCCGCTTTTCCGGGGTCCCCGGCCCTGTATATATATATATATATATATATATATATATATATATATATATATATATTATACAATACAACATACATACATATGTATGTATGTATGTATGTATGTATGCATGCATGCATGCATGTATGCATGTATGCATGTATGCATGTATGCATGTATGCATGTATGCATGTATGTATGTTTGTATGCATGTATGTATGTATGTATGTATATATACATGTATGTATGTATGTATGTATGTCTGTATGTATGTATGTATGTATGTATGTATGTATGTATGTATGTATGTGTGTGTATATATATATATATATATATATATATTCATTTTTTCTGGGGGCTAGCGGCGGGGACCAGACGACCCAGGAGAACCCACACGAGAGAGAGCCCGAAGACGGCCCCAGAGGGTTCCAGGCGTTCTGGCGCGCTCAAACGACCCCAGAGAGCCCCAAGACGGTCCACGACGACCCCAAAAAAGCCGCCATACCCGAAAGATCGGTCCAAAACGTCCCAAGAGGCCTCCAGGAGCACTCCCAAGAAGGCCCCAAGTGGAAAGTGGAAAGATTCATTGATTTTCTGGTGGTTTGGGATGAATTTGGGGGTTCTCCTCTTTTCGGCTTCCCGACGCTTCAAGACGGCGGTCTTCTGGGCGTCCGAAGCCGCTTGGGAGGCTCGAAAATCGCCCCACAACCATCCGAAAGGGCTTCCGGGCAGTCCAAGAGAGCCCCAAGACGGCACAACAGGGTTCCAAGATGGCCTAAGAGAGCCCCATGACGGCCCAAGATGGCCCCAATACTCCCTCCGAAGCATTCCAAATCGTGACCCGGTCGTTCAGGGAAGCCGCGGTTGGAGGCAGGGTGGCCCGAAAAAACCCCCAGAGCCCCCCAGAAGACTCCCAGGAGGCCTCCAGAAGGCTTCAAAGAAACCTGATACACTTTTGCGAGGCCCTTATAGGCTCTCCAAGGAGGAGCCTCCGCAAAAAGAGCTGAAGAGGATGGGGAGAATACGCAGGGTATGGCTGGCGAGAATGATGAAAAAAATATGGAGGAAGGATGACGAATCACATTGTTATAGCGGCGATGCCTGAAAAGGCGGCAAGGTGTTATCGCTAAATTGTCGGCTGGGCCTTCCTGCAATTCCGCCTGCATACCAACCTTCAAGGGCCAAGGTGCATGGCGTGCAGCGCCAATGCAGTCTTGTATACATATATATATATATATATATATATATATATATATATATAGCACATGTATGATTGAATGAGAGTTTGCGAACGGGTATTATGATATAGTGCCTGGTCCATCAGCTCATGCAGCAACCTATGTATCTTAGCTATTCTGGGTCAACGGAGCGATGACGGCCTAAGGGGCCATTGGCGCGGTGACCATCCAGGGAAGTGATGTGATGTCCAAGACACGCTGATGGCCCCCCCTCGCTCGGATCCTGGCGCGGCCGATCGCCCCGAGACGAGCTGGGTGACCGGCCTCATTCGCTGGCTGGGCCCACGTGCGGTCGGGTTTGTGGGCTGCCTGGTCGCTTGCCTGGCGTTCAGCGTTGAGACGGGCCGT